CAGCATGTGTAAAATTGTGCATGTCAGAATGATGAAAATATAAATAGTAAATCTGAATGGCTGCTGAAGTCAACCTCAGAGTCACAACCTGAGACGGTGGGAAAAGGGCAGGACTTCCAGACAAGACTGTCCGGATGATTCGTAGACTTTCCTGTGTTACCCAGATCATAGATATGTGTCCTTTGTAAATAGTTATATATTTCAAATTTGTTATAGGACAACTTTGCTTCTTTAATTTCTGGTTATTTTTTACTGGTAGGTGGCTTATAACTTGTAGTTTTCAGTTTCTGTGCTCCGATGACTTGTTTAATTTTTGTGAGATGTAAAATATTTAATTTGCTAGAACTCCAAATATCTAGAAACATTTTAAATAGACCTTTCATAAAGAGAACACAAGGCTACATATCACCCCCTGAATCATCTGCTTTTACTTTTATGGGATGAGATTTCCTTACGATGGTGGCACTTTGGATCCCTCAGGTGGTCATATAAATCTAAGGAGGATGAGAGCCTGTGGATAGAATAAGACTGGAAGGATATTTAAGTTGCACAGTGAGTGTCAGATGCTCCACTTTGACATTTTTCTTTGCCTTCCCTTTGGTTCTGAGCAGAAACTATTGGGTTATCGGAAAAGTCATGACATATTTTTTCTGGTTTTTGTTGCAAAAATGCATCATGACTTTTCTGACAGCCCAATATTTTCTCTCAAATTAGTTCCCCACCTCTGCTTTGAGATCCTGTTGTAATAGGAACCTATTTGAAATTGTAAGTAAAAGTTTAGGTATGAATGACTTGTTTGCCAAAAATACAAGTAGCAGAAAGCAGTGCTTAAGAGAATATGGAAAAGAGGATAGTCAAGATGGCAGAGTACATAAATGCTGTGCTTGCTTCATCCCATGAACACATCAAAATTACAACTAAATTATAGAACAATAAACCTAGAGAACCATCTGAAGTCCAGCTGAACAGAAATTTTATAACTAAGGATATAAAGAAGAAGCCACGTTGAGACTGGTAGGAGCAGCAGAGACTCAAAACAGGCTGGTCCCACACCCGCATGTGGCAGTTGGAAAATCGGGAGAGATACCTTGGCCATAGAGGTTCCCCACGAAGGAGTGAGCCCCCTCACACCAGACTCCCCAGCCCGGAGTACTGGTGCTGGGAAGAGGAGTCCCCAAAACTTCTGGCTGTGAAAAACAGTGGGGATTCCGACTTTGCAGGTGGGATGGAAGGTGGCAGGAAACCCAGACAGCCTCTTAAAGGGCCCGCACAGGCACTCACCCTGGGCTTCAGCAGAGGGACGGTGACTCTGGGGATGTCAGAGACATACGGGGGAGACTGAATTGTGTAACTTTGGGGCAAGCACTGGAAGGACAGTCTCCACTTTTCCTCTGTGGGGCCCTCCTTTCAGGCAGCTCACAGGTGGATGCCGTTATTCTGGGTTGAGCCTGCCCCCACAGGCCAAATCTGAATCTGATTGGTGTAGTGCGCTCTTCCGTTTCATCCAGCTGACTCACTGAGACCCTGCCTCACCCAACTCAAGTACCGCAGGAGACTTTATCAGCAGCTGAAGTTTACAGGAGCTGGCAGGTGGCAGCAGGACTTAGAGTGTCCTGGCTTTTTGCAGAGCTACCCCAGAACCACTACTGGTGGCAGCCGACCTCGGTTCACAGTGTGGCCTGTCCCATGCACCTTCAGGTACAGCACAGGCAGCGACCAACCATGGATCACTTTGTAGCTCCTACCAGATACTGCCGGCCAGTCACAGGCAGTGGCTCACCTGATGCTACACTGGAGCTCCTCCCAAGAGACTCCAGAACCAACATACTTGGAGGTTGGCTTCAGACCACAGCAGAGCACCACCCAATTAGCCCCACAAGTGGCACACACAAAGGGCGGTATCAACAGGCACAAGAGCCTGCTGGGGCAAATCCCACTCCATGGGGTAAGCCTACCACAGAGCAGTTCATAAGTTGTGGCCATGACCAAACCCCACAGCCAGTCAGCCTGAGGGTCAGTACCACCCAATGACATGTCAACAGCAATCAAGGCTGTTATAGCAGGGGGGCATACACAACCTACACAAGGGACACGCCTGGAGGACATAGCTCAGGTGACCAGGGAGACTGTACCACTGGGAAGGCCAGAAGGGATTGACAGGAAATATTAAAGTGATGGAAAACAAGGATCTACAACCAAGACTACTTTAACCAGCTAGGCTATCATTTAAAATCAAAGGACAGATAAAGAGCTTCCCAGACAAGAAAAATCTAAAGGAGTTCCTCACCACCAAGCCAGTATTACAAGGCATCTTAGAGGGACTTCTTTAAGATGGGAAGAAAATATATCAAAAATATGAATAATAAATGGCAGTAACTACATATCTATCAACAATTGCTTTCAGTGAAAGTGGATTAAATGCTCCAATCAAGAATATAGGGTGGATGAATGGATAAGAAAACAAAACCCATACATATGCTGCCTACAAGAGACACACTTCAGATTGAAGGACACACACAGACTGAAAGTAAAGGGATGGAAAAAGTTATTTCATGAAAATGGAAATGAAAAAAACCTGAGGAACCAGTACTTATACCAGACAAAATAGACTTTAAAACAAAGGCTATAACAAAAGACAGTGGGGCCAGCCAAGTGGCTCAGTTGGTTAAGAGCTCGCTCAAGAATGCAAGCTCTGAGCAACAGGGTCGCCAGTTCAATTCCCGGCCCGAGCTGATCTGCTGCTGAGCTGCCAACAGGTGCTCAGCTAAAAAAAAATTAAAAAATAATGATTCATTAAAAAAAGAAAACAGACAGTGAAAGACCCATTAATCCTACTTCTTGGAATTTATCTGAAGAAACCCAAAACACTACTTAGAAGGTATGTGTGCATCCATATGTTCATTGCAGGATTGTTTACATGGCCAAGATGTGGAGGCAGCCTGAGTGTCTGTCAATAGAAAAACAGATAAAGAGGAGGTGGTACATGTATACAGTGGCATATTGCTCGCCCAGGGAAGGGAATGGGATCTTGCCATCTGCGGCAGCATGGATGGACCTGGAGGGTACTGTGCTGAGTAGAGTATGTCAGACAGTGAAAGACAGATGCAATGTGGTTTTGCTTATATGTGGAACTAAAGAACAAAATAAACAAAACAGAAACCAGACTCATAGATACAGAGAACATTTTGGTAGTTGCCAGGGGGGAGGGGAGTTGGAGTGCTGGGTGATAGATGGGAGGGGGGTTGAGGGGGTGGGTTGAGGGAAAGGGATTAAGAAATATAAATTGGTAGTTACAAAATAATCATGGGGATGTAAAGTAAAACATAGGGAATATAGTCAATAATATGCTAATAACTATGTATAGTGCCATTTGGATACTAGGCTAGTCAGGGGGATCACTTCTTAAATTATATTAATGTCTCACCATATGCTATACACATGAAATTAATAAAATAATATTGAATTTCAACTGTAATTGGAAAACTAAAAAGGGGGAAAAGTGAAGGACAATAAGTGGTCTAAATAAAACAAATAAGTCATGGGGATGTAATGTACAGCATAGGAAATATAGTCAGTAATATTGTGATAGCGTGGTACAGTGTCAGATGGCTGCTGGGCACTTAACATGCTGACTGCTTCTTTAGGTATATAAATGTTGAATATTGCATACACCTGAAACTAATATAATATTGCATACTAACTATATTTTTAATTAAAAAAATCTTTTTAAAAAGATAACATGAACAAAAGTTATCATTTGCAGACTTTCACTTCCATTGGGCTCACCTGTAGGCAGGCTTGACCACCTGGAGTAATGTAATGGTTAGGTTTACCTTCTTCCTGGCTTCATTGTTGTTTCTATTTACCCATCAATACTATTTAAAAATACTACATAGAGTGTGGGTAATGAGAATTGATGATCTGGTTCACTGAATTTCTAACTTTTGAGGATCCAGGTGACTAGACAGAGGCAAATTTTGACTTTGAATTGTTTCATTGTTTCCTTCTGTGATGAGTCAGAATTTGAAGCAGAAAAGTGAAATTCGATGCTTCCCCTGACTAATATGTTTATTAGTAAATTAAGAACTTATTAGCCTTCTTGAGGTCGTCCAGGATCATTCTTTTTGCCCCCAGATTATCCTGTGGTCAAAGGACCTGATGAATCAGTGAATCTCTTTGGCTTGGAGTTTACAATCCTCCTATAAGGCAGGGAAAACCGGAAATTATTCTGAACAATAAAACACTGTCTCTGTAAGTAGCATGAGCTCATTTTTCTTAAGTATAATTTTAATGAGGGAGACAGGGAAGTGTGAAGATGACCCCCTTATAAGGACTTCATTCACATTTATCCCTTTTAAGACTGGCATTTGTTCTCTTTCTAATCAGAGTTTGTTTTTTATATTTAACTTTTGTTTCTCTGCTTCGCCTTTCTTTACAAACCTTTGCTCAGTTAGAAGCAATTGGTGGATGAGTCATCTTCTGCCACCGAGTCTCAAGGGCACACAGCAGTGAGAGTTTTTGCTCTCAGGTCTGGGATCAGCTGCTCCTCATTGAGGTGTGGCAGGTGTCGCTGGCTGGCTGAGCTGGGCTGGCCCCCAGCTGGAGCAGCTGAGGTGACTCAACCCTGCCTTCTTTATTTCTGCTCCCGCCCTAGTTCCAGTAGGGTAGCCCAGAAATGCTCTTTCCATGCCAAAGGTGGAAACACAAACCAGCAAGCAGAAATACACAAGGTCTCCTGAGGCCTAGGCTCCTAGTGGACACACCATCACTTCTGCATCATTTATGGCCAAAGCAGGGCACGTGGAGCAGGAAAATACACTCTTCTTGATTGGGGTGAGGTGGGGTGCGTGGGAAACTCCAAAGTCACATGACAAGGGGTGTGGCTACAGGGAGGTGAGAAGAATGGGAACCTTTAATGCCATTCTCTATTAAAGTTGGCTCAAGGAAACCTGCTCAGGGCTAAAATTAAATTTCTCTTCTTTGTGATTTATCTTTTTCAGGAAGCCAGAACCTATGGCTCTCTTTGGAGTCTTTCAGGCAGCACTCCTCTTGGCGTTGCTGTCCTTGAGAACTTACCAGAGTGAAGGTAAGAAGTGCAAAGCACAGTAAAGGGAAAAAAAAAATCACATAGAGAAAGAATGAGGTCATTGGTTGCTTTGGAGAAAAGTTGCACAATTCTTTTTTCTTTGGAAATTACACGGAATTGGTAAGTAGCGATGGTTACCTAAGTCTTGATCTTCCTGATCTTGATGGCTCATCTTAATAAATCCCCCTTTAACCCTGACTCCCTGGTCATTAGGGTACCTGTGAATGGACCTAATTCTACAGAACTTCATGGTCGGTATGTTGAATGTGGCCACCACCAGAAAAGTGCCTTCTGCACCTTGCTAGGGAAAGATGGGTGAACCAGAGCAATGCTGACCACTAGGTTAAAACAAGCTCAGATGTCTCTCAATTATGTTCGTTCATTGAGAAGCTGTTAGCTGCAAGATAATAGTGCAAGTGCTGAAATGCTACTTATGGATTTAAAAAAAAATAGTATTTGTCACTTAGCTACCCCCAGTGAGGGTATTTTGAAATACATCAACTTTATAAATAAAGTCAATAAAAATTCAACACTTCTAAAGTGTTCATGGATACTTTGATTGTTAGTTTGAGTATTAGTTTGAAGGTAGATTCTTAGACCTGAGAGAGTTTCTGTTGGTTTATAAAGTTTGTGTTGCTTTCACTTGTATTTTACAAAGCTTTATGTTTCCCTATTTTTGTGTTTATTCTTTGTTGTACTCCTTTCTTAACAGAGTACAGGCACAGGCTCTTAGTAATTATCCACACAATTCTGTCACTGGATTCATGAAAGTGACATTTGCAAGAAATACCCTTAGAGTTTTTCAATTTTCCCTTAAAACTCTGTGAGAAGATACTTAGAAATAAAAAGGAGACTTTGTTTTGATAATAGTGTTACTGAAAAAATAGAGGGTTCATTTGCCTGCATGCATCAAAGCCAAATGAGATACGAACAGAGGTTTGCAGCAAAGAAAGTAAAGGTTTATTTAAGGAAATGGCGCCAAGCCCGGAGACACAGGTGAGCTAGTACTCAAAGACCTAGCTCCTCCATGGCCTCTAGGGGATGGGTTATGTAGGGGAAAAATCATTAGTCCCGGTAGCTAAGGGAGTTGGGGTCGTAGGCTCTACTGATTGGTCGGGGCTGGGGTAGGAGGCAGTTGATCATTGCATGAAATCCTGATGTCAGTCATGGCGTCTTTCTGTCTAGTCCTAAGGGGATGTGGCAGGTAGGGTCATCCCACCTTCATGGGTCTGGAGCTGAAACGCAGCTGAGGTCAAGATGTTATCTTTAGTTTGACTGAAACTCAGTCTCTAGTCAACAGACCTGAGGCTTTGATTCTAAAGCTGTTTAATGCTGACCACACTCTGATGTCCTAAGGGCATCATGATTAAGGGAATGGTTGTGCAGTGTGTGCAAAAGTGGAAGGATAAGGACAGAAAAGCAAGTGAGTCCTGGAGCTATCAGACTAGACAAGGCCGGTTTGAATCAAGGCGAAAGGAAAGAGAAAAAGCCATTTTAAAGAAGTGAAGTTTGTTGCATGGTTACAATAGCTCAGTTTTCTGTCTGCTGTTCTTTAGGTCTAGGTTAATTTATTTCAGGTTCAGGGCACATTGAAAAAAGCTACGTTTATGGCTTCTTAAGAATCATAGTTTGCTTGTTGGCTTCTTCCATAATCTGGAGCTGAAAGATGGGAATTAGGATTTCTCATTTGTAGTATGTATACCCCTCTCACTATCTTACTAATATCTAAGGGTAACACAGCTGGGCTGAGTGGGTAGTTTGTACCCTAAAAGTGTTTCGGCTCAGCTATAGCTCCTGATTCCCAGACAGACCCATGGCCTCAACTCTAGGTTCTCCAGAAAATGCCAGGCATTTAGCCAAGCTTTGGGCACAGCTCACTTCCCTGGTGAAGTCTGATTATCTGATCCAACAACTATGTACCGTGTGCCTGCTGCTTACAAGATTCTTTACACTCAAAGCAAGCTCTGCTGCTCCCCTTAAAGCTCTTCTTGTTTAGGTCAGACATACACTTACCTGTTTTTCTCTTCACCAGTCTTTGTTTCTGCTTCCAGCTTTTTCAGCCAAGTATGCCTGCTTTGCTAAGTAAACCCGTCTTTGTCCTCACCTGCACTGCTTGGATTTCTTGTCTTAATTTCTGCTGGATTTGACCAAGTACCTACCAAACCTCCATCCAAATCAGTGAGCTTCCCACTGGATCCCAGTCAAGCTCAGGTCTGAGACGTCATTTCAGATAACCTAGCTTCACCTGACCAATGAGACAGAGCCAGGCTCACTTCTGGTGAGCCCTGAGCTAGCACCTCGATCAGTCATAGACCATGAACATGGCATCTAGATGTAGTTTCTTTCAGACTCTGTGTTTATGTACATACAGAGATAAAGATATAAATATGTAGATTTTTTTATAGAAGTGAAATTATACTATATATACTGGGAGTATTTAAACTTAAGTGTATATATTAATACATATATTTCTTAAAGTATATATGCTTATTATAGGTATATATACTTATTAAAGTACATATAGTATAGGGCCGGCCGAGTGGCTCAGTTGATTAAGAGCTCCCTCAAGAGTTTGAGCTCTGAGCAACAGCGGTTTGAGTCCTGGCCCAAGCTGAGCAGCCGCTGAGCTGCCAACAGGTGGCAGGATGGCTCAGCTAAAAAAAAAAAAAAGTACATATAGTATAATATATATATTTCATATAGCATAAGTCTATATACTTGGAAAATATACTATATATACTTTAATAACTATATATTGCATATATAGTATAGTGTACCACATATTTTATGTATATACGCTTTATACACATATACTTTATAAAAGTATAAATATATAAAGTATATGTACTTTAATATATACTTATTAAAACAATTAATTAATACAATATACAATGAGAGTTTTTACCTTCTAGAAATAACATATTTAATGGCTGCATGGTGTCGCATCTTATGAATGGACTATGGTTTATTTCCTTAAGTAGGTTTGGGGTCAAACAGAGAAACTGGGAGGGGCAACAAGGAGAGGCTCTGACTAAATCCACGTCAGTCTGAATCCAAAGCCTGCTTTTTGTTTGTTTGTTTTGCAATACTCCAGTGTAGCATTATAAAAAAGAGCTGGGCCAAAGGCTAAGAGCCCTGGGTCAGGTCCAGCTGTGTGGCCTTGGGAAAGTCACTTCCCTTTTTTAACCTCAATTTCCTCACCTGAAAATAACCTTAATAACCTCTGAGGTCCCTTTACTCCCTGACTTTACTGTGGCATTTCCCAACTATATTCCTAAGAAAGTCCTAGATTGCTTTTGACCAAATTATTTTTGACTGACTGATGCTTTTCAAGTACCCAAGTCACGCAACATTTGCTGATAGCATATGTCAATATACAGAACCCCCCTTTTGTCTAAAGCATCATATGAAGCTTTCTAAAGTTTACTGAAAGAAAGTTGATGCTGGTACTTGACTCATTCATTCAGCAACCAGTGACTGTCTGTGTTGTGACAGGTATGCTATTGGTCTTGGTTTCACTGAGCTGAGTAAGCCTTGGTTAGCTCACAGTCAACGGTGCAACACACACAGACCAGACTATTACAGCACCCTGTGATCAGTGTGCAAACAAGGGCTTAGAAAAGCAGCCACGGGAAGAAGAGAATGCCAGAGGGACACATCAAGGTGTTATTGAGGAGTTGCTGATCTCCACTTGAGACCTCATGGAGATCCTGGCTCTCTGTAATTTGAGATCACCGTCTGCTCTGGGTCAGATGTTGTGCCAAGTGCTAGGGAAGAGTCCATTCAAAGATGCATGAGCCTCAACCCCTGTCCTCCAGGAAATTTGAATCTAGAGTGAGACTGACAGGAACAAACTACCATCCAGGCAAAACAAAATGAGGACGAGGCAAGAGGGGATGACTTTGCATGTACCCTGCTTTCTCTGGTGCTATTGGCTCCACAATTATTAAAAATATTTCCTCCCTATTCCATAAAGGACCTGCTTTTTCATCTTTCCAAATCATTTTTTGGAAGAATGAATGCTTAGAAGGTGGTATCTGCTATACCATGGACCGTCAGATACCAGTTGATTTTATCAACACAGTCTTAATCTTTTCAATACCTTTCAATATCGTTCCCAGTTTACTCCAGACCTCCTCAAACCAACAGTGGAAACCAGCTGAGTCAGCAATACACAGTCCCTTTTGAATGTGTGTGGCCTTTCCTCTACTTCAGTGGAAGTTGGTGTTTTGTTCTCCAAAAATTAACAATGACTTAACTCACTCCATCAGGGCCTGTCCTCTCTCTGGGCCATTTCATGTTTAGAATCTCTTCTTTTACAGACTCTATCACACCACTACACATTCTAAATTTGCAATTTCTCATTATTTCATGAGTCAGTTGTGTCTCTCCAGTAGGCTCCTTCCTTGAGCTAGGAACCTTGACATAATTATTTTATTTTACACTAAATACCTGATATGTTGCTGGTGCTAGTCTCATCCAAAGACTTCAGTGAATTCTTGCCAGAGGAGTTTTAAATGCTGTGTGTTGAGATATAAGCAATCATGTCTAGAGATGGGATGTCCTCCTACTTTGTAGCTAGCTAATAAACAATGGAATATTGACTTTCAAAAAGAAAACTTTCGTGTTTGATAGAAATATGAAGTTTATAGCAAAAAGTCCTGTTTCTTTATTCAGCCTTGCTATACATTTCTAAACCAGTTATATTGTCCAATAAAGTGCCCTTAATTATTTAATAATTTAATTTGTTTAATTTGATTATTGCTTGTATTGTTTGTTTAACCTTCTGTGTATTGTTGAGCAACAACAATTTCATTCATCTAGGTCTTAATTTTTAATCAAGGGATTTCTAAATTCCCTTCCAGCTTTTCAGGGTATCTGATTCTAGGATGCACACGTGAGCAATTTTTTTCAAAGCTAAACAATGATGATATTGAACAGTAATTTTCTGTGACTGTTTTATCATGCTCCTTATTAATTGTCATTTCATACCTTGATTTGGTCTTTCAGTCTTGTCAGAACTTTTACCATTGACTCCGGAGTCACTGGAAGTTTCCATCAATTCTACACAGCAACGTTTGTATTTACAATGGCGTGTCCACAACCTTACTTATCATCAGGAATTAAAAATGGTTTTTCAGATAGAGATCAGCAGAATTGAAACATCCAATGTCATCTGGGTGGTACGTATTTTTTTTTTTTTTAGTATATATTTTTAAAATCCTTTTCTGGTGCCATGATTTGTCTTTTATAACCTCCAAAAAAATCCCAGTATGGAAACATTTTAGCAACTCAAAACAGTTTTCCTAAACAAATTGCATTTCTGTGTCTTTAGTGGAGAGGATCCGGGACAGAGTAACATGACAACTTTGGTTTGGGAAGTTGGATGGGATGTGTTGGTAGATCATTTCCTCAGTTCTGCTCTGCCCCTGAGGCTATCGGTCTGAACTTGAGTACTGACTCCAGGAATCCATGAAGATCAGCCATCTTACTCCCCTTCCTGCTTTCTCCCCTGTCCACCAGAGACTTTCCTAAATTAGATGTAATAGTTTGGTGACATTTTTCTTGCTGGCATGGCTTCCAGTCAGTACTTTGCATATCCCGTGCTGCAATCCAAGAACGAGTCCTCGCACTTTATGTTCTAGCCAGCAAAGAGCTGCTTCATGTACCACGTTGGAGAGTAACTTACAGCGCCCTTTGTGCCTCACGGGTGGCTTTCTCCAGAACAAATTGGGAAAACTCGAATGTCACACTCTTTCGCCTTTGATTTATTTGGGATAGATTTTTCACTTTTCTTGGTTTCAGTCATGCTTGTGTCTGTGTTGCCTATGCTTCCACATCTGGTGAACTGGGACACGGCGGTGGTTTCTGTCAATGACCATTCCTTGCCTGGGGAACCTTAATAACCTTTGCGCACATTCTGTTCATTTGTTATCGTGGGATGTTGAAGGATAGCGGGATGTTTTCTCATTGAAGGGGAATGGAGGATTTGCCCGGAGGGAAGGCAGACAGGGAGGTGGCATTGCTGGGGACCCCCATTCGCTCAGTGGAGGGTCACTCTTCTCTCAGGCAGTGGAGGTATGGCGACAGCGAGCCAGAGGGGTAGTTCCTTTAGTAAAGCACAGAGGCCTCTAATTTTAAAGCCTCCAGTTACTTTCCGTACCCACTGTTGCTTTGAGATCTGACTGAGTGGCCTAAGTTAAACATAATTCTGATGCTGTCAATTTAGGCTTGATAGCCAGTCAACAATTCCACCCCTCAAAGGGCAGCTCCCAGCAATGAGAATTGTTTAGTCTTCTGATTTTAAATAATAGCAGTCCCTCTGCACAGCTGTTCACCTCCCACCATCAGCATATCTTCCCACTATCCCACCTCACACTAATTTTTGTATTTTCATATCTTTTGTATTTTTGATGGATACACTGGTTGTTTATTGAGACCTAGTAAAACATCGAGCAGAGGTCATATTGAGGCTGACAATTGTCTAAGAAAAAGAAATTGGAGAGAAGTGCTGGAGGTGGTAAGTGGAAAACTAGCGCTTAACACCATGAGCGAAAGTAACATTGACCACAGACTAACAGGATCCCGTTCTTTCTTGTCCTAAAAGGCGGTTCTTTCTGTTATCATGCTAGAGAAAATAATGAAAGCCGTAGAGCAAGTGGGACCCATTCGTTCTTTTTCTGACAGGCAGTTGATCATATCTATTTTCACCTCTGACTCGTAACAGTTCACTGTTCAAGGTAAAGAACCTACTATAACCTGCTAAGGCTCAAGATCTTTGAGAGGAGAGTTTTGCATTGTCTGTTGTATTGTTCCCTAAAGCACCCAGCCCTGCCTGACCCCAACAGAGGAGAAAAACCAAGGCACAGAGAGGTTTGCTCTGCTGCTCAAGGGGACAGAGCCAGGGCGGTATCGTCCTTCAGCCCGATGCCCAGACAGGATCATGGCCACATGCGGCCTTCCTGGGTCATCAGTGGCCATGTGTTCCAGAAGAGATGATGCCATGAGAAGCCCTTGTCTGAACCACTCAGGCCTGAAGTTGGGGAGAGACATAAAACCCCCTCCAGTGAAGGGGAAAAAGCCAGCCGAGAGAGCCTGCTTCTGTCTAGATCACCGTCTCCCTTTCATGGGGCAGGTCCCTATTGCAAGTCTTACAGGGCACCCTCACTCATGCCAAGAAGGAGCCGCCTTCTAGACTCAGGTGGCTGGTTCCCAAACCAGCCACAGGAAAAGCATCTTGTAAAAAGTGCCTGCAGCTGGTCCAGAGACTCTGAGCCGCCCCTCAGATGGCGCCAGCCACTCAGAGCCTTGCTGGCAGCCACGGTACATGGTCTCACCCTGGGCTGGGTTCTGACTTCAGCCCTTGCAGACACTTGCTTTATGGTTTTGTCTGTGGCAGGAGAAGGCAGAGTGACAGCTCAAGTTTGGAAAGAGGCCCGCAGCTCACCCCTCAACACCGAACCAGTGACCCGTGTTAGACCTCTGCGGAAGTGTATGTGATTTACTGTGTCTGCCTGGGCCAAATTAAACTTGCCACTTCAATTAATGAAAACAGCTCCAACACAATTCATCACATTAAAAGAAAAAAAAATCACTGAATTGATGCATTCAAGGAAAGTTTTATCTCCTCCATTACAAGGCCATACACACCACAAAGCCCAAGTTGTGGTTAGACAGAATCCACACAAATAGTGTCTGGGAAAAGCAGAGGCCACTGCATGCTAATGAACTGACGAAATCACTCAGCACATAGTTTTAGACTGTGGGCCCAAGTCCGGCCATGTTCAAGGTGTGGGTTTGTGAGGAGATAAACACACAAATCAGGGTCTCCTGAGTGTGAGAGTCCCCAATGGGGTGCCGCGCGACTGGGGTCAGGCCTGACCTTCTCCAGCAACTTGGCAGAAAGGGCTGTGTGAGCCCAAATCTGTTTTTTATCCTGAGCTCGGTGAGAAGAAGTGGAGTGACAGGATCTGATTGGAGGTTTTTAAAAAGCCCACTCTGGCTGCACAGTTGAGAGGAGCTGGGGGGCCTGGAGAAGGTGATGGATGACCATTACAAAGCAGAACGTGACGGGGGTCCAGAGGAGGGGTCCCTGGAGAGGGTGGTGACAATGAGGACGAGAGAAGTGGCCAAATTGGAGAGAGGTGTAGAAAGTTAAATCCAGTTTGTGGCCTGTTGATATTGTAGAAAGGTCACCATTTTAGATTTAAAGTTTCTTTCTTTTTTTTTTTTTTTGGTATTGGCTCTTAAAATGAAAAATATGTAAGCAAAATGTATTCAAGATTGCTCAGATTAAATAGGGAAAGTTGCATGGATCAGGAACTCAGAATTTATAGTTAACAAAATATGTTTTGTAATCTAGAAATAAAGGAAAGCAATACACTGAAATGAAATAGAAATGATTTATAAATCAAGAGTTCTGTGTAGAGAGAGAAAGGTGCTGCCCAGGTGGACCAAGGTGTTCTCACTGCAGGGCTGTGCTTGGTTCTGCCGTGAGCACTGTTTCAGGATAGCAACCTGGGGAGGGGAGAGGTGGCCCCGGAGGGAAGGCCTTTGAGTTTGCTGACTCCAGGCTGTGTGTGACATGCATGTCGCCCCACCCCTCTTCACTGTAGGACGTGCCCTTGGCCCTTAGACATGTGGACACAGACATAGTTCTCTCCAGGGAGTGCAAGGTGTTGGCGTCTCCATCTCTCAGCTGGGGGGCCAGAAAGCAGGTGTCCTGCAGGGGCCCACTGAGGAGAGTGAATGCCTGGAGCTATGGTGATGCAAAGAAGAATGGAATACAGTCTCTGTGCTTCCGGGGCCATGCTTGAGTCAGGAACACAACCACAGATAAAATACCAACGAGTACACACAGTGTACAGAGGGTTCAGGGAGACGCGGGGATAAGAGCAAGAAAGGCTTCGTGATGAAGATGGGGTATGACCTGGGCTTGAAGGATGGAACTAATTCCCAATGCAGAGGGGGAGAGGGGGACACTAAACCAGGGACACTGTGTGAGCAAACACTGAGGTGGAAAAGCATCAAGTTATTCCGGAAGTGTGGGGTAGGCCACTGTGCCCGGAGAGAAGATTCCTGCAGGGAGAGGTAGGGTGGAGTCAGATGGCAGATGACCTTGAATGGCAGGGTAAGGTGTAGAGGAGCCTTTGAAACCTATTGAATTAGAGAATAAACATATCAATGTATTAGCAAGATTAAGACTCAAGGATGCTCTAGAAGACCAAATTTCCATTCAACTTGACGAGCTTCCCAAAAAACAGTGTGAGACATTCCTAGGTGATTGACATCTCTAAAGATTCCAACAGATGGGGGCCGGCCGAGTGGCTCAGTTGATTAAAAGTTAGCTTAAGAGCGTGAGCTCTGAGCAACAGGGCCAACGGTTCAATTCCCATATGGGCCAGTGATGCTGTGCCTGAGCTGAGCTGCCAACAGGTGGCAGGATGGCTCAGCTGGTGAGAGCACGTGCTCCTAACAACAAGACTGCCTGTTCCATGGTGGGCTACGCCTGCCAGCAACTAAGACTGAACTCAGCACCTTGAGCTGAGCTGCCGCCCAGATGGCTCAGTGGATAGAACATGCGCCCTTAAGAGCAAGGCCGCTGATTCGATTCCCGCAACTAAGATTGTAGCAGGGCACCTTGAGCTTAGAGGCCACGAGCTGCCGATGGGAAGCCAGATGGCGACTGGCGCCCTCCACAATGAAGACTGAAGAACAACTTGGCTGGTCCCCCTCCCCAATTCCCCAACACTGTTCCCCTCCCCCGATTCCCCAATTAAAAGAAAAACAAAACAAAAGAATCCAACAGATGGATCTCGAGAGAGGGCATATAGTCTATGTGGTCACCAAATCTGAAAAGACAGACAAAAACTAAGGGGGGCTTGGAGAGCCATCTATTGACTTGGAACTCCCAGGCACTGTGAAGGAAGGATTGCCTGCTGTACTGATATCTGTCCAACCTAATCTGATCCTGGCTAAAAATGAATATGAGACCATACCTATCAGTCTTGCTTATTTTAAAATGGATGACTCAATTAATTCTCTAGTTTGCAAGAATTTTCTTAGCAGGTTCCATGTGACCAGCACTGTGAGCACCTTCTATCTCTGATTCCCTTCTCCCAAGACTTGAATAGCTCCAATTTTTTTCTCACTTGCTCCACATGACCCCCCTGGAATTGGAGGGCCAGAGGGAGTGGGAGCCAAGTTTTTGAAAAGCACAAGGCTATGGCTGGTTCCCTGCTGAGACATCAAAGCATGGGGAGCTGGCTGGTTAGGAATGGACAGTACTTGTTCGCACATATTGTGGAGTTGTAATAGGTGTGTGCTTTTGGGATAAGCCTAGTCAAGCCATTTTCCAAGACAGCATGGCTGTTTTTTCAAGTTTTTCTCTTTATTTCTAGGAGAATTATAGCACCCCTGTGAAGTGGGACCAAGTTCTGCACTGGAGCTGGGAATCCAAGCTCCCTTTGGAATGTGCGACACACTTTGTGAGAATAAGGAGTGTGGTGGATGATGCCAGCATCCCTGAGCTTGGGCTCTGGAGCAACTGGAGCTCATGGGAGGAGGTCGATGGTAAGAAGTGAGGTGATAAGAGAGGGAAAGGGTTTCATATTTAATATTATTGGGGGATCAAATAATCAAATAGTGGGGTCCCCTTTGAGGAGCTCAGGTAGACACCTACATTATTTTCCTTTGGCTCCTGTTGGAAAACTGGCCACTGGGAGGTAGATGTCTGAGCCATAGATAATGATGCAAATCCAGACCGTTTTTATTTATCTTTCAAACATGTGAAGCATGTTTGTTATAGAACGCTAAGTGGACAAAGCAGGACATAAATTGTCTATATGTTTTTTGTTTGTTTGTTTGTTTATTATTATTTTTAAAATTATTTTTTATTATGAAATACACATTTTTTAGAATTAGTTTCAGCTGTACAACACAGTGCAATAGTTATACTTTTTATCCCTCGAAGTGACAACCTCCCTCCCCCAATCGGCCGCCCCACTTCCCCCCGATATCATACATATCTATTACAAATCCCTTGACTCCACTCCCACACTATACTCCACGTCAGTGTACAGTGCAGTGATCAAGCCTCTACCCCATCTTTTATTAGAACAACACACAACATGTGTATGTATCTCGACCAGAGGTTGGGAAGCTTTCTCTGCAAAGGGCAAGACAGGAAATATTTTTATTTATTTATTTATTTTTAGCTGAGCCATCGTCAGCTCAGCGGCAGCTCAGCTCGGGCCGGGCATCGAACCGCTGTTGCTCAGAGCTCAAACTCTTGAGCGAGTTCTTAACCAGCTGAGCCACTCGGCTGGCCCTAAGACAGGAAATATTTTAGACGTCAAGGTCTCTGTCATGACTATTCAACTCTGCCATTGTAGCGTTGAAGCAATCATACAATATATAAATAAATGAGTGTTTGTGTTCCAATAAAACTATTTACAAAATCAGATTGGTGGGCCAGGATTGTCCCATCAATTATAGTTTGCCAGCAATCCCTAATGTAGAGAGAAGGGAGGGACATAATGGAAAAATTAAAGCAGTTGTTTGAGTAATGAGATTATGGGTAAATACGTTTTTTAATATCTCTTAATTGTGATCATTTAATTTTGTTGTAACTAAAATTTATAGTGCATTTTGCCACCATTGCTTATGTTTCAGCTAAGCTGTAGGTCAATTCTAAAGCGATGGCGTTTGGTTTTCTCAACTATATGTCCTTCCAGATTATCTGAAATTCCTGTCAATAGAATCATTTCTATGTTAAGTGTTTAGCCAATTTGTTAACTCAAACTGATTACACATGAACCCATGAGTGGCGGAGGGATTAGTTTAATACTAACAATAGAATTAAATCTGCATTCTAGTCACTATTTTAGGCACTGTACATATTAATTTAGTCTTCACACCAGCCCTACGAAATATGTAGTATTTTTATCCCTACTTCACAGGTAAGTTAAAGAACCTATGCAAGGTCATCAAGGCACTAAGACAGAATCCCAACCCGGACAACCTAGCTCCCGAGACCATGCTTTTAACATTACACCCTACTGCTGAGGGAGGGATATACTCACAGACAAAATAGAGATTAAAAAGATAGGAATGAGAAAGACAGAACAACATTATAAACAACTTTGATAAAGTAGACTAGGCTTCTCAAAACTATACCCTTTAACCAAAGAATCAATGGAAAAACCTGCTTATTCCTAACCCCCAACGCACTTGTTCTCAACCATGGTTGCCCATTAGCATCAACTGGGGACCTGAAAAAAAAAATATCCCATGTCCAGGCCACTCCACAGGGGTGACACCATATCGGTGATGGGAATTTTAGTGACCTGGTGGGTCAGCAGCCAGACTGCAGTGGGCTGAGTGAGTAGGGGTAATGACACCTGAGCAGTAAGTACAGGCAGCTTTTTCGGAGAGGCTGACTGTGGAGGGGTGGGTGGAGAGGTGGCAGGAGGCGTGCATGGGGAGGATGGTGAGTTTGCTTAAAATGGGAGAGACATGAGTATTTCTATATGCAGATGGGCCATACAGAAGGTGAGGCTGAAGCAAAAGGAGATACTTAAGTGGCTGGCATTTCTGAGAAGGTGGGAGGAGGTGTGATCTATAGCACAGTTTAGAGATTATGCAGGACATGTGGCTTTGGAGCTGGGCAGACCTGGCAGGTGTGACTGTGGCTTTTCCACTTGAGTGAACTTGGTCTCAGTCCTACCTGTCCTGTTGTCATGAGGGAGGAAGGATGACATGAGATAATGAACATACCACTTAAAACAGGGCCTCCCACATGGCTAGGATCGATAGAGCAGCTACTTCTGTAATAAGAACCTGACACCAGCAATGATACAATAATCTGCAGTGGCCACAGTAAATGGAAGTACAAATAGCAACAGTGTTAGTGTAACAGTAGGAGCCATGGTACAAAAGATAGCTTTGCATGCATCAATGTTTCTAGGTTAGCCGTAGAAATTTAGGCTCCTATTTTCTCCAGGTGGTAGAAGAAGGTAAAGTTATATGTTGAGAGTGAGATGGGAGGTAGCTGGTTTGAGGTTGGAGTGAAATTCTAACTGGGCTGTCTTTTCTTTTCTTGTAGTACAGAAGTCGCTTGGACAGGGCTCATTGTTCATTTTCCCTAAAGATAAGCTGGTGGAAGAAGGCTCCAATGTCACCATTTGTTACATTTCTAGGAGCCCTGAGAATAACATATCCTGTCATCTGGAAGGTGTACCCATACATGGAGAACAACTCAATCCAAATGTGTCTACATTCAGCTTCAATAATGTTCCTTTCATTAGGGTTACTGGGACAAACTTCTATTGTATAATGAACAAACATGAAACAAGTGGCACCATTCTGTATGTCTCGAGTAAGTATGCACATTCTCTGTGCTCTCCCTTCCATTTCCTGATAGAATCTCCTTTACCAGAAAACAAGTAAACATTTCCACTCATGGTCTCAATTTTCTTTGGTTTCCCACGTCTTCTAGAAGACACTTAAGAAAAGATACCCTAAGGCAATACTTCCAGGATTTCCTGTTGTTTTCTTGCTTACTGACAGTTATTCCTAGAAACCAGGAACATTAAAGGGGAGAAAGTTCAGATCATGACCTGGGCCACTGGGAAAACAACCTGCTTTGCCGTAGCCATGCTGGAATTACAAGAGGAGGGGAGGGGAGAGGCTGCAGATTGGAAGCCCCAGAGAGGCAGCCTGGACTGGGGTTGAATCTTTTTCCCGTGCTGGGCGTGCCATCTTGGCCAAGTTTCCACAGCCTCTCTGAGCTGGTTTCTGCCTCTGTGAAGGGGTATGATGATGCTTGTTGAGTACTAACAAACATGGACAGGGCCCGGTCCTGCTATGATAGCTGCACACAGTACGAGTTAGCACTTGAGGCCATTACTCTTCTTAACTGTGCATGGAAATGTCAGTGGCGAGGGTGGCAGCGGTGGTGAGGGAACAGTTTATGTTTTATGTCAGTCTGTGTTGCCCACGCCTGGTGGCCTCCTATGTTTTGTCTTGAGACGGCCCTTCCATGCACAGTAGGGCAACATCTGCAACTCTGCCCTCGCTGTTCCCTGACAAAGGGCATCTCCACGTTCCGGGCACTTGGTTCATTTGGGCTCCTTGGAATGGCCTCTAAGAACAGCGGTGACTCCAGGGACTTGGAGGTGCACCACTCCTCAGTTCCCAACTGCTGAATTTAGCAGGTCCCCAAATCGGACCAACTTCCTGGCTCCCCAGGCACAGCCCCTAGATTCTCCGTAAGCCACAGCATCGGGAATGAAACACCAGGCAACACTGACTCCGTGCGTTCCTTCTTTTGCTCACTTGGTCTGTTATTTAGGAATACTTGCTGAGTGCCTCCTAACAGGTGCTGGGGATACAACTGTCATCAAATAGGCTCCGTGCCAACCACTTGCAGAACGCCCACCACTCATCCTCCATGATGCCCCAAAAGAGCAGAGGGAGAAAGGAGAAGGGGCCAAGGTGACTTTCTGGAGCTGACAGTGTGTAGGCTTCCGTTTAAGTGATTCTTTCATCGTCCTGAGAACTCCATGACCTCAGACCCCAGACAGAGCTTTCCATTTTCCTTGTTTTTCAATAAAGGGATTTCACTAGGTCTCTTGTCTGTTTTTTCTTTCTATGGACAGAAGTACTTGAGGAGCCCAAGGACTTTTCTTGTGAAACCCAGGACCTCAAGACTTTGAACTGTACTTGGAATCCTGGGCATGACACTGCCTTGATTGGATTTCCTTCCCAACGCTACACTTTATTTGAATCGTAAGTTAGCTCTGATTACATTGTTGACAGATTCTTCCTTGTTTACAGCGCTTGTGACGACATGACAAAAGCCACATTTAGATGTTGCGTAAAATTTGAACTAACATTTTAAAACCACCCCACCAGGATCAGGAGGAAATTTTTAGGGGGTCATAAGTGTACAATACTCTCTACCTGAGTTTCGTTAAAGGAAAACGTAGCATAAAAAAAAGATAAGACAGACAGTTAATGTTGAATTTTGATGTGAAGAACAGTTTCATCTATGTTAAATAATAGTTCCATTTGGGCTTACCTAATATCTGACTTTTTAAGACTAAAGTAAATTAAGGAGTGTTCTCATCACCCACAAGGGGGAGTCAGTGACTCATCGTTACATATTTAACCACACAAATCAAACTTGTTGAAACAATATTTCCATTATCAGTGTTTGCTGGTGATGGAAAAATGGATGCTGTTGTGTGGAACATAGCTTTAAAGCCACTATGTTTGTGTGCCCTGAGAGAGACAGGGATACACATCTGCATTAACCAATGTGCAAACCCTGGAATTGTTTTTCTGTTTTTTGTTTTTAAGATTTTCCAGGAAAAAGAAACTTTGTGCACGCAAAAACTGGTGTGATTGGCAAGTAGCTCCGGACTCACAAGAAACATATAACTTCACACTCATAGCTGAAAACAACTTAAGAAGGAGAAGTGTCAATGTTTTTTTTAACCTGACCCATCGAGGTGAGACTAGAGTTGTCATAGACTTCTGTGGTTAACATATCTTTGTTTGACACAATGGGTGATCAAGTACATGTGCTGCAGATCTTGGCCTAATTCACATCCTAAGTGAAAGTTCCTTTTGATAATGTCATAAGCACCAATGAGCTTACTGCTAAACTTTAACACTAGAACTCTGACAATCAATTATTTCATCTCCCCTCCCACAGCCCCTGACCCTGCGCCTTCCGCCAAGATAATCACAGATTTAAACTGTGTGGGCGTGTATGTATTCTCATTTTTATGTAATCCTAAAAACATTGTTTTTATTTTGTTTGGTTTTAATGTATACGAAAGACATCAAGCTATAGGTAATAATCTAGTAACTACCTTTTATGTAATATTAACTTGCTAAGACTTACCCATAGTAGTATAGTATTGAGTGATGCCTTAGTCCATTCACTTGCACTGCTGTAGAGTAGTTCATTCTGTATGTACACACTATTTTATTTATGCATCTCCGCTGATGGATTTTTGGATTGTAACAAGGCTTTTGCTCTTGGCTAGAGCATTTAGATGAGCACCTTTTGTATATGTACCCAGCACGCCTCTACAGTTGTTTTTCTTGAGTATGTACCTAAGCGTGGAATTGGTGAGGACACAGAAAATGTGACTGTTCAACTTACGAAATAATGCCAAATTATTTTCCAAAGTGGCTGTACTAATTATACCCCCACCCTGTGGATTCATATACTCCCCGCAAGTTGGTATTGTGACCCCTCCAATTTTTGTCAGTTGAATAGATGGAAAATGGTATGTCATGATGGTTTTGATCCCTGACACTGAATATTTCTCCTTCTGTTTTGACCACATCTGTATCCTCTTTTAGGAAACACAGACCCTTTATACATGTTCACTCTTTCTGGGAGATATCCTTCTCCTTTCATCTTCTTAATTCTCACACAGTTTTTAGATTTCAGCTTAATCATCCCGTCAGTCGGTCAGTCAACTAATTACGGAGTTGCCTCCAGGATGGCAGGCACTGGGGACCCAGCAGTGAACAAAACTGGGTCAC